TTAGAGAGTAAGCGTTGCTCCCTCAACCAATCATTTATGCATCGGCCTATTTGGCCGATGTGACAGCGCCCACAAGTAAATAGTATCTTGGAGAGAATCGCTAAAACACATTCAACATAGCACGTAGCCTGTTTATTAGTGCATGCTTCTTTGTTAAGTCCTTCACTGTTGACCCTGAGATATCGCTCAGCGAGCTTGCCGTGTGTGCAGAACACAACTCTTACGCCTATATTGCCAGCGACCTTCTTCAGCCTGTGGGAAACCTTGTGTACATAGGGTGATTGCACTTCACCATGTGCGCTCAAGGTCATGACATGTGCTGATATAACTTGTTTTTGTTGTGCCATCCCTCTATCTGTGGCTTTCAGCGTGCTCGTCAGGGTGAGAGAGAAAGCTTTTAAAGCATTCGACTGATCCCTGTAACTCTGTTTATTCTTGACGGATTCAAAGAAATTACTTATGGCAACCAGTAAACTTAGATACTAAGGCCATTTCATGATCATTAGAAAAAGTTGTTCAGGACCCCTTTAAAGGGACGTTAAAGAGGAAAACAAAACAATTTCTTTCTTATTAGTAAGTTACCTTTTGGTACGCCACAAGGTACATGAGATTTCCCACACTTACACGAGGTTTACGTACATGAGGCTTCCCACAGGCTAAAGAAAATCGCTGGCAATATAGGTGTAAGAGTTGTGTTTTGCGCACGCGGCAAGCTCGCTGGGCGATGTGGCAGGGTCAAGGGCGAAGGACCTAAAAAAGAAGCATGCACTAAGAAACACGCTACGTGCTATGTTGAATGTATTTTAGCGATTGTCTTCAAGATAGTATTTACTTGTGGGTGCTATTGCATCTGCCAAAGAGGCCGTTGCTTGAATGATCGGTTGAGGGAGCACGCTTACTCTCTAAAAGGCTATGTTCCCAGCCACTTGGCGGACCATTGTAGAAAGTGTGTTTGTCAGCCAATTCTCGACTAGCGTGTGGTCATGGGGCGATATAAAAATCAGTGAGATTAGCAAAGCCTTCCGGGTTCAAACACTTCGTGCTTCCTGTGTCAGGTTACCCTCAATTTTTCTTCACGGCTGTGAAATTAGTTATCTGGGGTCCACTAATGTGACTGGTTTTTGATAATGTGCGCCGTATAGTGCATGTGTGTGCAATTCTGCTTATGTAGCGTGGTTACGCACAGATCCTGTTTCCCATATATTGCAGTTGGTTTGCAATAAACTTTGATTGTTAGTTCAGCACTCTTCTCTCGTTTCTTCTATCCCGTCTTGTCGTTTGCGCTCTTAAGCACTTTTCTTCATTCTTCGTCTACTATGCAGCATCAACCAGCCAAATGAAGCACTTTGTTAAAGTATACCATAGTGGAAATTTATTTTTCCCACTAGTTTAAATAAAATAAAAGTTTGTATTATAAGTAATCTGCTTGTTCATCTTCCTAAGTTAGAATAATGGCTGTTCGGAATTTTAGAGTTAATTTTTTGGGACCGATTTCAGATTGGAACTGGGAGTATTGTAGCTCGGGCAACGATGTCATAGTGTGCATTGCTAAGAAGTTTTGAGCAGCTTATGAAAAGATGATGGTGCCCTCTTTTAGTGTGCGTTGCTGTTGCAATAGATGAGTTCAGAGCTAAAAAATTTACTGAAGTTATTTTTTTTCTGTTGTATTGTGATAATTTTGGTTCTGTTGCTGATAAGCATCAGACATTCTTCAGCATTGAGATTTCAGAATGATGCTGCAGCTGTTGCTTTTTTTTAATAGCCCACTTATAGAAACAGTTTGCATGCAGGCAGTGGTAGTTAAGAACATTGATAAAAGATGTTCGCACAGACATACGGTCAGATGGACACAAGATGGAGACAACACAAATGCTGACTGTCAACTGAAAAGGCGCACACAGCCACCGAAAAAAATGTGGACACAAAAACTTATCTGTGCCTTTGCCGGCATGTTGTGCGACCTGTTAATCAGTTGCATGTGGGTGTTTCAGGAAGAGTTAACTGTTCAGGCTTTTCTTTTTTGTTTATCTGGCTTACACATTCACTTTCACTGCTATTTATATGCTAGGCTTCAACCATCAGACGTGTTTCTTCATTCCTGTGTGTGTATAAAACTGAACATTGATTGAACTTTGTTGTTAATTTACACACTCAACAATGTAAAAATACATTGGTTGGCTCACACATGCACTCTTACAACTGTCTATGTCTCAGCCATTAGCTGTGCTTCTTTTACATTCCTGTGCCTGTATGAAACTGTGTGTTTATCAAATTTTGCCATGCATTTACACTTTTGACAATGTAAAGATTGATTGAGTGGTGAGCCTCCAATTAATGACTCCTGATGTTCAATTATCATTGGATTAGCAAACTGGCCAATCTGCCCTAAATAGAAGTGGTTGCAGCTAAAAAGAATCCTTACCAAATAGCTCAAGTTTCTCATTCTAGAGCTGTAAGTATAAGCAGTTCCTTAAGGGCAATAGGATTCACTTTTTGTTTTTTGATATGGTTTCACAAGTTAGTCTGAGGCTAATAAACGTTTAACATGCACCTTGAGCCTATCCTTAGCATGTGAGGCTTCACTTATGGTTGCAGTTTAGATGTGATGCATGCCTTGTCTAAAAGGCTGCAAGCTAAGCTATTTGCTACTGTTCAGTGATTCAAAACGAAAAACAAAAAGCTCACTTCTTTGAACTATGTGATTTCTTTCTAATGAATCTTGGATTTCACCTCTCGTATTTTACGGCAGTTGCGACACCATATACACTTTTAGCTCAATCCCTAGCTGGTGTGTAGTATAATCGTACATGCAGCCATTGTTTTGATAGCTATTTGTTGTCACTTCATCTTATGAGCTTTCATGTGCTGCTTGTGAAACAGTAAGTTATTTCATGTACTTAATTTGCCTCTCTCCATTGTATATACTCTTGCGTATTGCATCTACCATGGACAGCTAGTGCGACCTATCACTTGACAATACCCATACGGCTGTTTGTAGCAGTTGCCTATTGGCAACTTATTTGCCACGTTTTAACTTGGGTAAAATAGTGCCTACAAACTTGGAAGTTGACTAAGGGTTGTAATGGAGAATATATTTTTGCTGTGAGAGTATGGAGGTATTGTGTGTGAGAAAAATTCCGCATTATTTATTTTTGACAGTGTTGTAAAGTGTATTCTGTTTAGAAGCGCTTTATAGCTTGCCACCTATATATGATGCATGCATGCATATGGCTGAATAAACGTTTTGCGATGGGCTTGGCTCTCGAGACTGTCCTCTTTTTAACATTGGTATTGTGTAATCTTCACTGTTTCAAAGGAATGATACACTGATAATGAACCTTTGACTTTAAGTAAGAATTGTAAAAGCTGTTCTTGAAGGGAATATGTGACATAGGTGTGTAATCATATAGATGCATGGGTGGCTCAGTTATATGGACTATGTTTGGTTTGCTTGCTTGCTCGCTCGCTTGATTTTTTACTTTTGGCATGCAGCTCGTTCTTGTCGAACTTATACGAGGGCCTGATCATTATTGCATTGCACTAGTCTTAGCCTAGCCTTGAAAGTTGTCATTATGGAATGTACTGTGTATGTTAGTGGGTGGTAGATGTGCTTATGGTACATTGGTATGTCCTAGCATCCATAATACATAGCTCGTTGCTAGATAAGGAGGTTGGTCTAGCAGACAGACAGACAGGATAGGCAGGTAGAATTGAAGATGCTGTTAATGTGGGAAATTTGTAGGAGAAGAAGGGAACATACACCAGCACACCAAAAAAAACAAAAAAAAACATGAGTTATGCTGGTGCAGTAACAAGCTTTACACTTTATTCATTTTACCTTTCTCATTACAGTGTCCTATCTGCATGTTGTAGAGAAAGGTGCAAAGAATATGCTTTTTTTATGCAATCACTTTTCCCTAGCCGCTGAATATACCTGGCTGTGTTTGTCTCGTAAATATTGCCATTACAGAATCTTTGCTCATTGCTAAACTCTTTTTTTTTTCCTTATTCATGTAATGCTCTTGCTGGATCACGTGTGTAGCTGCACACCTTTTGTGTACGTATCAACACTTTCTTAAAATGTGCCAATATATTTTTGGAGGTGAGGCATTGGAGAATGCAATAGAGTATAATTAGTGATGGGCTTCTTTAGAGAGAGTGCTGTGACTTTTTGAAAATCCAGTTGCTGTTTATGCAAAAAAGTGCTTTCTCAGTTGAGCTTACCTTCTGCCAAGCTCAAAAGAAAAAAAGAAGCATGCCAAAGTACAGCAATACAACTACTTGTGAATTAAAAGCAGTTGTATTCTGAGTATGCTATTCAGTGATATGAAAACTTGCTCACTAGTTATGGAAAACTGGATACGTATGTGTTCCCAGTAGGATTGTTTATATAGCTTTTGAATGCTTACGCTTATTTGCAGCGTATAGTACAACCACTGGTAGAGTTGCTATCTTTTCATTTTGAAAGAAAAGCTCACAGAACTTCCACATTTGCATGATTGCTTGCATCTGCCCCTTGATAGCATTGCTATATAACATGCTGCAGGTAAATGAACCCTAAATTTATGTTGGCCCAGAGGTCTTGCAGAAATTGTGTTATAAGCATTCTGCAGCATTGCAGAACTATACGCTATTGGGGATGTTAGCTATTGCTTGTAGAATCATACCACCACCCCAGTTTTGGACCCTTGTACCATGCTAGAAATCGGGTGCATTTCATGACTGCAATCACCATACAATTAACTTCATCTGTGTAACAATAAAGTAGGGTGCTTTTTTTATAGAGCTAGGGGAATCATCATACATGTGTGTGTAGAGTAAGAAAGCCGCATACATAGTTTTCTCATGTGAAACTCCTCAGTTTTAATTGCAGTGTTGTTTGAAACTGTTAAACATTTGCTTGCCATGGTCAGAATGGGCTAGTTTTATGTTTACAAAGTGTTATGTTTGCATGATTTTCTTTTCCTCAATGAATCAATGTGTAATGTATTGTCTTTCAGTTCTGATATGAAGAGCGCCCTTGAAGAGCATTTCAAATCGAGTTCCATTGTAAGTATTTTTCTTGGGTGTGATGTCATCCGACTTTCTCTTATGCACACATTTGTTTTGCAACATGAGGACAGTACTTGAGATTGGAGGGTGGGCGTTTGGCAGGCAAACTAAATGTCTGCATTGAGGGAGGCATTGAAAATAAGACTGTCATCATCGGGCTTAAAATGTCATCATTGTGCTTGAAGTGTTTTATGCATTCTTCGTTTCATTAATGTAGTTGCATGCCTAGAACAAAATGTAGGTGCTGGAATTGCGGTTGCATTTGGATGGGGGTGAAATGCTGGAGGCTACGTACTGTGCAATGTCAGTGCACGTTAAAGGAACACTAAAGAAAACTATTAAGTCAAGGTTGATTGTTAAAATAGCAGCCCAGAAACCTTGTAGTGTTACTTTTATGCCAAAGAAGTGCTTAATTTGAAATAAAATCACGTTTTTAGTGGTTCGCATCGGGTTAGCGCACTTCAAATTACCGGCCTCAAACAGAACCTCTCATGTCACTGTCGTCATGCACAACGTTGCCGACACTAGTTGCAGCAGAACCAAAGTAGTGGGAGCCACAGCAGCAACAACGGCCATTGAACAATTTTCTGCTATGACCTCCGCGATGGCAGACCACCATGGTAAACATGTTCAATTCAACTGGGCCCCGCTAGATGGCAGGACCTGTCCAGTTCAACCAGGCAAAAATTTAACTTTTGAACCGCTTGCGCCATTCCCTATAGTAATGTCCTGCAATTCTTTTTCTCTATGAATCAAACAGAAACAAATAAGCAGCATTTTATTATGTCTCTTGATGCACAGAAGGTTTTTCATTTAGGGCAGCTAGTTCGATTACTAGTAATCAATATTAGGCAGTATGTCTTACGTCATTGGGATCATTTTGCGAATTTCCTAGTCGTGGCACTTGTGTTCTCGTGCATTTACTTTAATTCATCAGTAAATAGTACACTGGTGTTGATAATATTGTCGTTTTAGACATCATACATTGAGGAAAGCCCTAGACGGAATGCAAAGAAGCGAAGCCGCTGGTGAGGAAAAATTAAAACAGACCTGCTGAAAGACGACAGAGAAATTGTGTTAGAAAATTAGCCACCTTATATACAAAGTGTCTCTTGATGGGAAGGGTACCAGAACCTTGGAAGAATGCCAACATCATCTTACTCCATAAGAAAGGAGACGTTAAGGACTTGAAAAATTAACAGGTAGATTAGCTTACTGTCCGTTGTCTCCAAACTGTATACAAAAATAATAGCTAATAGAATTTAGGCAAATATCAACCAAAGACCAAGCAGGATTTCATACCGGCTACTCCACAATAGACCATATTCATACTATCAATCAGGTAATAGAGAAATGCACTGAATACATCCATTCACTATATATAACTTTTATAGATTCATAGATTACAAAAAGGGGTTTGACTCGGTCGTGACATCAGCAGTAATGCAGGCACTACGGAATCAGGGCATTGAAGAACCCTACATAAACATATTGGAAGAAATCTACAGAGAAATCTACAAAAACAGAATATATCCATTTTCTACAGTAAGTAGGCTTGAACTGTTTTTGTGTTGCAATAGCAATTTTATGAACACTCCAGATGCGTTTTGCTGTCAAAGCCAGCGTTGCCATAAGATTATGTATAAGGTCCCTTGGCAATAGCAATAGACAGCATGAAGATTGCTTTTCTCGCTGCAGTAGCTGCGTCTTCTTATGCTAGTGTTTTGTTAAATTAGATTGGATGCTGAAGGAGTTAGCTACTGGTCTTGCATCAGATAACATTCCAGTTTGTTACTATTGCATTCATTTCTGTGCCCAAATGTTGAAACTGTGACTTTTTATGTAAATCTGGTACATTGGTCACTTCGAAAACTGCTTTGTTTCCGTTCTTGGATAGGATCCACCTAGCCGAAGCTTCCTCAGAAGAAAGCGTTTTTTCACTTGTACTGTCTAAGTATGAGACTCGAATATTGTTAGCTTAGGAAGACATTGTAAGAAGAACAGCTTCTCTAATTTGTGTGTGCCATCTATTTAATGTATTCCGGCACAGTGTATTACTCATCGTGCATACGTTAAGAAGGAATTGTGAATTGATTGTGCTTCGAGCAGCATTTTCATTCTAACAACTTAATAAAGAGGTATTGAATTTATGCTTGTTTTGTTTACGCTGGAATCTTACGGCAAGAATGCACCTTTATGTACATTGTTTGACATCTCACTTGGCTGTGTAGCTTGCCTGAATCAGAGCATGAACTAACTGGCCCACAAATGTAGTCTGGTTCTGTTGCCTGTTAACTACCAAGTACAGTAAATTCTCATTAAATGAAACCCGAAGGGATTGGGAAAATATTGTAACGCGGACTGAAAGAGCGAGTAAGAAGAAGAGATCGGACGCTCTCGAGCGATGGTGATTCGGCAGTGACGGTAGAGCACTGACATTTTTCAATGTAGATAAGCCCATCACATTCGTAACAGCTTTGGTCGAGCAATGCAGGGTAACTTGCCATCTTGGACCCCGCAGCAGAAGTTCTTCGAAAAAGCAGACGCGTAGCTGACCTACCCCCTGGACAACATCAGCATGAATGACGACACAGCAATCCCATTGACGTACTACGCTGCTGCACCCACCAGTGCCACCGACACGGCACAAGGTGGACGTCGACCTCGACAACCAGACTACTTGGCACCTGAGCTACGAATATTCTCAGGTAAAACTGACGAAGACGTGGACGCTTGGCTAAAACACTTCGACAGAGTAAGCCGCTACTATGAATGGGGTGCACCGACGAAGCTCGTGAACGTAGTATTCTTCCTTGCCGGGACAGCCTTGCTTTGGTTTGAGAACCATCAACATGTCCTCCCCACTTGGGATATATTTGTCAAGGAACTGAAGGCCAGCTTTGGGGACACGAGTTCTATGAAAAAGAAAGCTGAGCAAATGCTGTCACGTAGTGCTCAGTTGCCCGGCGAAACGTGCACAACCTACGTTGAAGAAATATTGAAGCTTTGCTGGATTGTCAACGCAAATATGTCTGACGAAGACAAAGTTGGTCATTTGTTAAAAGGCATCGCCTAGGATGTGCACAATTTTTTGATAATGAAAGAACACTTGAACACTCCTTCTATTTTCAGGCAGCACTGTCGCGCATTCGAGGCGTTGAAGACCCGGAGAATTTTACCTAAGTTCGGGCGCTTGAACAATGTTCCCACTGTTCCAAGTATGGACGTCGCCACCTGCGAAGACATTCCCTTCCTTGTATGTCGGGTAGCTCGAGAAGAGCTCGTACGACTTCAAGCAGGTGATGTTCACAACCAATGCTCGTTTGCCGCGTGCCCCAAACCACCTCCCTACTGGATGCGAGAGCACCATGTCGAAAACCGACCACGCACAGAAACTGCAGATTTCACCCCGCGGCTTCTGTTTTCCCCGGCGGGTCACGGCCACCACTGGATGTCATCATCTTGATGTGCCGCTGCAGACCTCTGACCGTCATCAACCAGGCCTCTACCAGAAGATTACTATGCGTCATCACAAAATGTTCCTGCGGAGTACGACCCGTCTCCGCGTACTTCTGGCACTTCTGCTCCTGCTAATGTAAGCCGACAAGTCCCCGTTTGCTACACATGCGGTCTCCTAGGGCATATTTCGCGCTTCTGTCCCAGACGGCCGCCTGCACCGCCACATTTTTCGACGTATCCGGCTCATATGTACGAAACGCCTGTGCCGCTACGTTTTTCGACGTACTCGCCTCGTATGCACGAAACCTGGACATTTCACCCGGCCGACCACCGTCCCCGACAGCAATGGCCTAACGAATTTCGCAGCGAGTCCCTCACTTCCAAGCGAAGCCTGACGCCGCCTCCGACACGGTCCCTCCGTTCGCCGTCTCCGCGTCGTGGGTCACCTTCCCCGCATCAGCTGGGAAACTAACTGGTGCGACCGATACAGGTGTGGTCACGGGACGGTCAGTTTCGCCAATTCCTCCTTCTGCTGTGATGTTGATGAACAAAGTGCGTGTGTGTATAGACGGTGTAGATACTCTTGCTCTTGTAGACACTGGTGCTGCTGTTTCGATTATGAGTCTTCGTTTCAAACATCGTTTCTTGGGTCACAAAGTTATGTTCGCGTGTAATCATAAAGAAACTTTTCGTGGAGTTGGAGGCGAAGCGTTATGCCCTGTTGGTATTTGTTCAGTTGTACTCACGATTGGTGGACAAAATTTCCGAGTTGAATTCACTGTACTGGCTCGCGCAACTCATGACGTCATTTTAGGGATAGACCTCCTTCATGAATGCGGCGCTACGCTTGACTGTGGAACTGGAGAGATTCTTCTACAAAGTACGTTGCCCGCTGCAATAGTTGACGATTTTCCGACTCTGCCCATCGATGCGCTTTCGTTGTCTGAAGATGTGACGATCCCTGGTCGGACACCAGTGTCTGTACCTGTATGCTCTTCTCATGTCCGCTCAGGACCCTGCACTGGACTTGTGGAGCCTGATCATGCAAACGCCATCAAGAAGAATGTGCTGGTCCCACGGTCTGTCCTTACAGCCATCGAAAGACATGCTTGCTTGTGGGCGCTCAACACAGCCTCAGAGCGTGTTGTTCTAGCAACCGGATTCAGACTGGGAACATTCGAGGAGCAGGCCACAATTGACGTCAGAATGGTCTCAGAGTCTCCAGCCATTAGTCAGACTGCGCCCAACTACTCAGCCAAGATAAAACGAATGATCAATAAGTCGTGGCCTTCTTCCGAGCAGAATGTCCTCGAGGAGGTGCTTACACGCTACGCGGGAGTCTTTGATTTCGCTCAAAACAAGCATTGTTCTATGTTGCCCGAATCCCGTATGCACCACCGCATCAACACGGGAGATGCTACACCGATACGCCAGAAACCCTATCGCGTATCCCCGTCAAAAAGGCAAGTGATCGCCGATCAGGTCAACGACATGCTGCAGAAAGGCGTTATTCAAGAGTCAAGCAGTCCCTGGGCAGT